GGCTGAGCGTCGCCCCGCCGTCTGTGCCCGTGCCTTTTCGTGCTGAGCTGGGGCGCATGCGCTGTGTCCAAGCTTTGTTGCTAAGCGAGTCTCCTGTCTTTCAACTGCCTGGATTGGGAGGTTCCGGGCAGGCGCTTAGTCCAAGGGAGGCAGAGTAGAGGAATGGGGAAAGGTCCTTCACTAGCCGAACAATAATAGCGAACCCCATTCGCTCTCTGGTCCAGAGAGTCCTAGTCTGGGGCGGGGGCGGGGGACTTCCATGGCAACGGGAGCATCTCATTGTGATGCGGAAAGCCAAAGGTTACTGTTGCCATAGAGATTCTAGTGCAGAAGGAGAGGTGAGATGAGATAAGGGGGTTGGGGAGGGGAGGTTAGGAGGGCCAGCCTAAGAATTCGATGGCCAAAGCAAGCTAGGTACAGGGATTGGCTTGAAGCAAGAGGATTTGGACAAATATTAGGGAAGGTATAGCTCAGTGGTTAAGAACACTGGCTGCTCTTGCAGAGGACGGGGGTTCAATTCCCGGCAACTACATGAGGGCTCACAACCATTTCTAACTCCAGTCCCAAGGGGATCCAGTGCCCTCCTCTGGCCGCTATGGGCATCAGGCATGCACGTGGTGACAGACATTCGCACAGGCAAAACATCCTTACACATAAAATAGTAATAGAATTTTAATAAAGAGATTTGGGGAGGTGACAGGAAAGCAGTATGTGAGGAGATGCGGAGATGCCTTGGGGAAAGTGGGAGTGCCCTAGGGGAAATTTCTAGTCATTGCCATGTTGTCTGTAGAGGTCCATGTAGTTGAGGCATCGCCAGCCACAGAGAATACCACAGCTGGCAGAGCAGATCGTGACTAGAGGCAGAATTTCAGGTCTCTGAGTGGTACAGAAATAGGGCACTCTGGTCCCTGTGGGAATGACAGGGCCAAACTGAATGAATGAATGAATTGAGGGCACTTAGAGAAACAGGGACCCAGCTCAGGAAGATCATAAATATTACTGAGAAAACTGGGGTTCCCTTTTGGGGTTCTTAATCTCATTAATAAAAGCGTTTGAGAAGGACAGTTTTATTAGTTTTTTTGACGGGGAAAAGAAAAACACAAAACAGGACAGGCAACCTCTTAACCTTTGGCAGCTGCTGGGACAAGGGAATTTGCATAAAAGAGAAAGGCAGGCCTTTTAGGTTAGAGTCCAAG